TTTGAACAACATTGTTATTTTGTTCTTAGACAACAGCAGCTGCCGTCTAATGGATGTGTGGATTTGTTGGGCATGGTACAACCTCTTGGAATCCATCACACACAGCTCGCCTCATGTCATAGTCCACACAGATTTTCATATGTTACTCACTTATCACACACCAATAAAAACTCAGTTTCATGATACAATGTCATAGGAAAGGCTGTGCAGTGATCCAGTAGCAAAATTCTGAGCTATTTCCAACTTGTCGTTTGTCAAGTGTCAAGTATCAGTATGTTTGCATAAAAGTTTTAAATATATGATGGCTTTTCTGTCAATGTGAAGAGGCATCCCAGGTACCTTGTCACACAGTTTTGTCCCATATAAATTTTATGAGGCTTACTTTTTATTCTGTATAGCTTTGTCTAACTCACCAATGGCACCCAGGGTTTGCATTAAGTTTTTAACTGTGTACAATGTACTGAGATCTCACTAAACATCTTCACCACTGTTCATCTGTAGCTCTATACCTTAGCACATCTAGCTTTAACTTACTTCACCTTGTGAAATGCAAAACCAAAATGAGGAGTCTGCTATATAAGGTATAGGATGGGTCACAATGGCTGACAAAGATTCATATTGAAAATAAGAGGCACTATGTAATATATATATTCCTCAACCAGTAAGACATTGTTTTGTGGTTTTAATTCTGCATGCCTTACAATGCAATTGAAGTAACTCAATACAGTTTGTGGCTGTTTCCAGACAGCTGAGTAAGAGCCTGAGTATTAACATCTGCCAGATGAGTCTCTGTCCCACCACCCCTGGACTGGCCTTTGAAGGAGTCAATCAGTACAAAGTTAGAATGTCAAAGAAGAAGGCTGGGGCAGGTTACGTGACAAATGGATGCTGGTCTTAAGCAAGCTGACTAGCTATTAACTCACAGAACAGTCTGAAAAGATTTGTGATGCAAGCTGACTTCGTCTAGACAGAGAGGGGAGTGTAAAACACATTAGACAGATACAATACAGTAGTGACAAGAAAAACCTGTTTCAGTTGCACAAATGCATGGGGAGGGAACTACAATTTCCATCTCTATCCCAACAGCTAATCCCTAACAGGGCAATATGTAACAAGCAGAGACTTTGTATTTTATTTTTAGAGTTTTTAAGCATCTTAGCCATGAATAAGGAAGGAGAATAAAGAAAAGAGAGAGAGAAAAGACAGAAGCAGTGGGAGAGAGAGGAGAAAGAGCACGACAGGGAGGGAAGGAAGAAGGTGGTGGGGGACAGAAAGAGGAGAGAACAAGTGTGAGCTGGAAGCAGAGACTGTCAGAGGAAGGGAAGAGAAGGCAATAAAAGCTCAATGCTAGCTACTTCCCTGAATTTCAAACTCTATTTATGCTTTAGCATTTGGAAAACATCACTACTCAGTCCTGTAAAATTTATCTGTAGCCTCAGATGTATTGTAGCCATATCTGTGTTTCTCCTTTCCACTTAAAAGTGGCAAAAAAAGCATGATCAAGTGAAGTCAGTTCCCACATTCATTCTACCACATTCATTGTATCCTGGTGAATGCATCACCGGTCCCTTAGAGGGAACAATCAACCAGGGCATTTCAAGAAAGAAAATACTCTGATATATATATATATATCTTGATATAGAAACTTCCAGGTCAGTGTAAGGAATTCGCTTGTTTTGAATTTTAACCTATATTGACTCACACTAGCAGTCCCTTGAATAGTCATTTATGTATTTAAATTTGTTTAAAAACATGGTTATGGATTTTATTTAGGTATCAGGAACTAAACTCAGGACCTCATGCTTGTCAGGCAGGCCCTGAGCTAGATCCCCAGCCCAAGGCCATGGCTTGTAACACTATGTGCTAATTTCAGATTTCCCAAAGCAGAGATCATTTGAGTGTTTCATTGCAGAAGAGAAAGAAGTTGTTCTACTTATGTTGTAAATATAATTGCAAGGTGTGATGAGAAGCTAGAGAAAATGCATTGTATTTTGTTTTTAATGCCTCCTGACTATCATCATCATTGTCTTCTTCTTTCTCTCCCTCTCCTCTTCCTCTTCTCCTGCTCCTCCTCCCCTTCTTCCTTTTCTTTCTCTTCTTCTCTTCCTCCTCCTCTTTCTCCTTCTTCTTTGCTTCTTCACAATTTTATTTGTTCTTTTTTATTTTGTGGTACCGGGGATTGAACTCAAGACCCTGCGCTTGCCAGGCAAGCACTTAGTCTACTTAGCTATCTCCCCAGCTCTTATAAATACTTTCTTTCTTTTTTTTTCTGTATTTTAGGGAAGGATCTACAGAGTGTTCAGGGTCTCACTACTAGATCAGACTTATAGTGATCTGCCTGTTTACAGCCTCCCAAGAGCTGGGATTACAGGCCCGTGCCACCACGCGCAGTCTCAATTGCTGTCTCAGCACACCCCAGGGGCAGGGCCTGCATGGCAGGCCCAGGGATTGAACCCCGGCCCCTGCGCCTGCTTGCAGGTACTTTAATCTGATGAGCTATTTGGTTACCCTTACAATTTTTTATTAGTACGTTTTTGCAATGCATAATGAAAGTATTCATCGTGGCATTTTTTTTTTCCTGGTATCAACACACTTGTCCAGAATATTTCCCTTCCAAAGCATACTTGTTTTTACCAAATGCTATCTTTGTGATGGAGATGAAGACACCTTAAAGTGTGTTTAGATAAGACTAAAGGAAAATAAAAATAAGAGAATTTAGTAAAAGTATAAAGGAAAATTTTTATTTCTTGGGCATGGGGTTTAAAAGAAAGTCCTTCCATAATTTGTGCTTTTTTCCTTGACTTCTCCATGTTTAACCACAAGGCACTATAACAATTCTCCAATTCCCATCTTCATCCAAATTTATTCTTCAATATATTCTAAATGTTTTTTGAATTTCAAACATGCACATTCCCAAAACTAAACTGTGGTTTCTAGTTAATGTTTTCAAGTTCAAAAATGGTTAGTTTGTGATTTTTCCAAATTAGATTATGGGAGATATTTATATCATTTTCACTTGCATTGTCATCCATGATGACAATGGATAACAATATGATAAAAGAGAAAGTTCCATACATTTGCTCACAATACAAAATGCAACAATAGGGCTGGCCAAATAGCTCAGAGGATTAAAGCACCTGTAAACAGGCACAGGGGCCAGGTGCTCCATCCGGGGCCTGCCATGTCAGCCCTGTCCCCCGGTCACGCTGAGATGGTAATTGAGACTGGGTGTGGTGGTGCAAGCCTGTAATCCTAGCTCTTGGGAGACTGTAGGCAGGCAGATCACTATGAGTCTGATCTAGTAGTGAGACCTTGAACACCCTGCAGGCCCTTCCCTAAAATACAAAACAAAACAAAAGAAAACAAAACACAACAACAAAACCACCTTTACACCTTCCTGTAGCAGTATATTTTAGAATCTTGGGCCAAAGATTTTAGTCTTATTGGTATATAAAGCATTAAAGATCATAAATTTTCTATGCTATGCATCATAATCTGTATCTTGTGGACACAGAAGATATTTTGTAACTAACTGTTCCTTTCTCTCTTCCCTTTCTTTCCCCTTCCTTTCCTTTCTTCTTGCTTTCTTTTTTCTTTCTATTCATCAGTCTTCTATGTATGACTCTTTGAAAATCATAAATGCAAAAGCTTCACCTTCATTCTCTGTAGGATTTTAGTAGTAGCTCATTCAGTAGATTTAGTCTCAGAAGTTCCACACATTAGAGAACAGCATTATTCCATTTTATACAAAGACATATCACAGACAGACTATGAAGAGTTGTTCCACATTTGGAAAGTGATTGTAGGAATTGATGTGGTGGCTGACGCACTGAGCAGGGTGACATGCTCTAGTTGTAGCTCAGAAGGCAGCTGATCAACTCCAGTTGTTCCCTGAGGATGCTGCTCAGCATCCTTTAAACTTTGGCTACCAGAAAGATGACGCTCTGTTTCTAAAGACCTGACATTCAGATGAGAGATTGGGAACTGGCTGTGGTGATGTGAACTACAGAAGCCCCAGAGAACACTCAAGTTTCCAAAGAAGGGTCAGGGCAGGGTCCTGGTTCCCCAGACGCATTTGGCAGAATCTGCCTGACCCTGAAGCAGGAGCACAAGCAGCAGAAACAGGAACATGATTTGTTTTCCTACCCTTCAGTAAGGAAAAAGTGAAACTGTGGCTTTGCTGATGGGAAAAATACAAAGGAAGACAAATATCTTCTTAATCTCTGAGGACTCATAAATATATAAGAGGTTGGAGGCAGGGGAACAGCTGGCCACTGGCTCCTGGACCCCTTAGCACGCTGATGAGGTCAAATGGCCTGGTAATTAGGAAAGATGCTAGGGCACAATGACTTCCTTCATGCGTGCAGAATAGTGAAAGTTTATGGATCAGGGCACATAAAGGAGAGAGGCTGGGACAGACTGCACTTTCCTTTAACACATATTTCTTTCTTTCTTTTTTTTTTTTTTTTGGGATTGAACTCAGGCCTTTGCGCTTGCCAGGGAAGCGCTTATTCCACTGAGCCATCTCCCCGGCCCACAGTTCAGGCCACTTCTGCAGCAGGTCTGGCGTTCTCTTTCCTGAGGATCTTTAAATTTTTTTTTTTTTTTTTTTTTTTTGGCGGAACCAGGAATCTCGCTGTGAGTGGGTTTGGGTCAGTGGAAGTATGCAGCTGATTTTTCTTTTCTGTTGGAACTTAGAAGGATTTTTTTCATCATTAGCTTAGTATTTTGCTTTTGGGATATATATATAAAAAACAACAAGAAGCCTAAAGTAACTGGGCTTGACCTTCTAGTCTGAGGGGTACTTAGTGTTTACTAATAAGAAGCTGATGTATAAGGGAGTGTCAACCCCATGATAAAGACGACATTGTTTTGAAGGGGGTTTCACCTTTGCAAGGGACTGCAAAAACATTGTTCTGCTTATGGCTTTAAAACAGAAACAAAGAACTGTTGAAACCCAAAGATACACTCCCCACCCCTCCACACAAGAAAATTCTTACCAGGTTCTGCTGTAGATCTAGGTTCTGTGTGCCACATGAGAAAAGAAAAAAAAAATCAGAACAGAGTATTAGAACAGTGTTTCATTCATAAAAGACCTACCTCATCTTTCCTGTCGCCTTGTCTAGGATGTGCATGCGGGGATGTTGTAGATAACTCCCATAATATAAAAGTGAGACTCTAAGTATTAGCAGGTCGATTCAGACGTATAAATATAGAAGCTTGGATTCCAGTTAACACTTTATGGTTAGGAAATCTTTCACAGACATAGTTCATTGACAGACCATGGATTTATGAATCGCCTAAAGTTATCTGCCCAACTTGGAACAGAGATGCATGTGTGCATTTTTCTCGATGAAAGGCTATAGAACATTTATCAGCTTCAAGGAGGCCACAGTTTTAGTTTACTGGACCTCACACTTTGTAAATTATCTAGTCTCAGCCTCCTTTGAAAACAGAAATCAATTCATCTGAATGACTCAGTCTTTCTTGGCTGAAATCAGATAGCATAAAACGGTCAGGTCTGAGAGAAAGGGCACCTCTCCTTACTTTTCTGTAGAATTCTGAAATCTGGCGAGTCTTGGATTTCCATTCCTTGTCGGAACCACTGGACCTGCAGCGGCGGTGCGCCCCGGACCCGGCACTCCAGGACCACCACCTGGCCCTCGGAGGCTGTGGTGCTCTGCAGCTCCTGAGATTTAAGGAAAACACTGGCCCTCAGTCTTTGATTATATTCTGAAGGACTTTCGCAGAAGACAATAAAAATTCTAAACCTTAGAAACAAAACAAAACAATCCCTACAAAATTTCTATCAAAATAATTACCCCCAATTTAGAGGAGAAGGTAAACACCTCTAAATCCCTTTATCATCAGTTCTCCATGTCAAGCAAGTGCCACACCCTAGGTTTACCGTAAGACGGCAGCACTTTATAGCCTGCTCACAAATTCCCACCGACAGCCTTACATTTATGGAACTAGACGGCAATGACCTTTGCTCTTTTTTAAAAGTGATAAATATATATTTTTCTTTTCCCCTTCTCTTTACTCCATTTTGTTTTTCCAACACAAGATTCAACTATGTGTAAGACTTAATTATCACACATAGAGCTTCAGAACCAGATGAGTTAGGCCAGAGAACATGGAAAACATGCAACACAACTGTACCACGTCAGGGGACGTCGGCTACGTACATTTGGATACACTGTCTATGTTTTAGAGTAAATCGGGATGGAAATGTCTTAAAGCAATCACGCTCTGCATGAACGCAGATGAGGAAGAAGACCGGTTTGTTTCCACGCGCTCTAACCCACTAATGGTGAACCTTTCAGAGACTGAACACCCAACTGCAATGCAAAACCCGTTTATTTATCAGCAGGCGCCAACACTGCAATTAAATCCAAATTCTGAGGTTTTGATTTAGAAAAAAGCAGCCCATATATTCACATCTTTTGTGTTAGAAGAAAAACCCAGGAACACACATGCCACAGGTTCACAATTACGGCTCTAACCTTTTCCTGTGCTTCCTACCACCCTCGTCCAACTGGTTTCCTATGTCAGGCTTATTAAGCTAAGGGCCTTTGGTATTTTCTCATTTTAAAAGTCTTTGTAAAATAATGAGACATGCCACATCCATGTTGGCCGTATTTACCTCATTTCCTCCTCGTTGGCCACCGACCTCGCTACCCCTCCTCCCTCGCCAGCTCCAGACCAATAAAATTTTACAATCCAGAAGATTAGAAATTAACTTGCCTTCTAGATGCAAGGAGATAGGGCTTTTGTACTTGCTATTAAGTATCTGGATCTTAACTGTCCCCTTGCATATGTTTGTTCTCTACCTTCCTCCTCCAAGAATGACTAGCAACAAGGTTTATTTAAACTTTTTGATTATTTAAACATCTGCCTGCAAGTAGTGTTGTAGGCAGCCAAGTTAGATAGAAATATTATAGGCAGTTAGACAGGGTCAGGCCCTCAAGGAGACAAGATGGAAGACGAGGTGACTTTGCAACTTGGAAGAGACAGGCACTTCCTCTGCGCCAGACCTCAAGACCAAGACAAAAGAGGAAGCACAGTCACATACTTCCCTAGGGATGGGTATTAGGGATTGATATTCTAAATAGTATCCATCAACTTGAAAGAGCCCAAATGAGTCACTAGCCCAACCCCCAACAGGAAGAGACCCTGTCCCGTATTCATGCCTGCTTGCTACATGACTTGCTTTCTCATTTGATACTGGATTTAATCAATTTTACCTGAGCAATGGTGCATGTAATCTCATTGGTTGACCATAGTTTTGTCCCACCTCATGCCCAACTAAGCAAGTTCCCGTGTCTTCTCCACCACCTTAGACCCGCCTCACCACATGGTTTTCCTCTATAAAAGTCCCTGCAAGAGACAACTTCCGGGTGTGTGTGTGTGTGTGGGAGGGAAATTACCTGCTTTGCCCCCAGGAGCATTCTTTCTCTCAATAAATATATTCTGCTCATAACCTCTGTTTGTTCCTAAAATTCGTTCTTCGGTTTTAGAGAACACAAACTTGTCCAGGTCAGGTCCAGAGATCGTTTTTCTCTGTCATTTGGAGGTTCCCTATATGGTTTGGAGGTCACCCACCCAAGACCAGTTTTTCTCCCTGTATCAGTAGGACATGTAATTTAAGTAAGATAAAATAACTTTCCTATACATAAAAAGAAAAAAAAAATCACTTTAGGAAGTGTGTGGATTTTGTGTTTTAAAATTATTGAAGGAAAAACAAAATCACAAATCCTGTAGCAAACAGGAGAACAAATGCTGTGGCAGGTGACCTACAGAGGTCGCACTATAGCGCCATGAAAATTCGAAACATCTGTGATGTTTGCCAGCAAATTATGAAATACCTGATTTGACATTTGATACAAATTTGGCAGTTAATAGCAACTCTTTTTTGGGAAACTTCTGACTGTGTTCCTTCCCAATTCTTACTTTTTATTTATTTATTTATTTTTTAAATTTTTATTTATTTATCTCTGTGTGTGTGTGTGTGTGTGTGTGGCCAGCTCAGCCCACCAGGGGGCAGGGCTGGCTGGCATGTGGTGCTGGGGGATTGAACTGCAGTCCCTATGCTTTGCTAAACTTGTTCAAAGTAGGTGCTTTAGACCACTGAGCCATCTCTCCAGCCCAGAATGGTTTTAGTTTTTTTTTTTCTTTTCTTTTTGGTGGAACCGGGGATTGAACCCAGGCCCTTGTGCTTGCCTGGCAAGCACTTATTCTACTGAGCCATCTTCCTGGCCCCCCAGTTCTTACTTTTTAAATGCAGAAAATATCTGGTTTTGAAATTTTTAACTTTGTGACTGGGTCCAGGAAAGAAATTATTTATTTGTTGTTGTTTCTCTGGTGCTGGGGACTGAATGCAGGGCATTCTGGGTAAGTGCTCTACTACCAAGCCACACCCACAACCCACAGAAGATTGCATTTAGTGACTCTCAGCATGGTGTCATATGTGGGCTCCAGCTTCATAGACTGACCTATTTGACATTTCTAGTCATGTGCAGGGGTCAATAATGTAATTACAAAAGACAGTCAAATATTTTTTGTGTTTAAAATTGTGGACACCTAAGGAAAGTGATTTATTCCTAAACATGTATTGTTTTCAGTGTTAGAAAGCCAGAGATGTAAATAATTCCATGATATTAAAACTAACCTTCACATTTACTTGAGGTTTATTACAACAGGCTTCCTCCTGCAGCATTTAAGAAAAAAAATCTTGGCAAAAGCCAGTGCCAAACACATAAGCCTTTAAGAGACTTCCGGGGGCATAACAAGAAGCCCCCAAAAAACACAGTTAACCTTTGAATTTGCGCTTGCTGGTCTGGAACACCATTCATTCCACGTAGGATATGGGATATCTTAGGATGCATATAAGAGCATCTCTGGTCATGCATCAAGAGCAAAATAAAAGCTAGATAACAGGATCTGGGCATGGTGGTGCACACCTGAGGCAGGAGGATCTCAAGTCTAAGTCCAACCTAGCATTGTGATTCCTTGCAAGGGCCTAAGGGAAGAGATGTTCCACAGGGTACCTGCCCAGCTGGCTGCTTGCACCTCCCTCCCTATCCAGAGCCCCGCGGTCAACGTGGGCTCAGCTGCTGGTGCCATGTCCACCACTCTGCCAGGCCTGCAGACAGAAGCACTGGCTCTGCCTCCGAGCAACGTGCTACCCGGAAAGCTTCTCTAGAGGGGTGTGAAGGAATAGAAGGAGGTGTCCTTCAGACTGGCAAAGCCTACCTGCCATCCACTATCATCATCGTGCCCAAGGGCAAAGTCAAAGAGGAGCCCAGGATGAGAAAACTGAGGTTAGTCTGAGTGCCAGAGGGGCTCAGCAGGATCACTCTCTAAGCCTGTGCTTCCAAAACAAAACCCAGGACCCTACAAAGCAGACAGCTTTGTGGACACCTAAGGAAAGTGATTTATTCCTAAACATGTATTGTTTTCAGTGTTAGAAAGGGAAAAGAAAAGAGAGCAGCGGATACAACAAGGAAGGGCCACCCTTGGGACACACAGCGGCCATGGTGCACAGCTGCGAAGTGCAGCATGCTCTGGACCTCTTGTGGCTCTGCATTTAGAGTGTTCTTAAAAACCAACCTTAGGGCCTGGGGAGATAGCTCAGTAGAAAAAGCGCTTGCCTGGCAAGTGCAGGGTCCTGAGTTCAATCCCTGGTACTGGGGGGAAAAAAAAAGCCCTAAATAAGAAATTTATCAAATTTTGTTCTACTTTTAAAGTTAGTTTTCTTCAGGAAAGAGGGAAAGATGGCTAATAGTATATGTCTCAGGAGCAGCATAGCAACACCAGAAACTCTGAAGAAGGATCTCATTAAGTTGTTAGGCTGGGCTCAGACTTGAGATCCTCCTGCCTCAGCCTCCCAAGTGCTGGGATTACAGTCGTGTGCCACCACACCCAGCTCCTATTGCCTATCTTTTATTTTGCATTTTACTTATATTTTGGGCACCTCAAATTTAAATTAAAGTGATATTTAAGCTTATGTGTCTGATTTAGTCACTTACATTATGACTTCAGGACTCCTCGTGGTGTCCTACACACAAGCCAGCCTCCTGTGTGCCTTCCCTTTTCCTCCCCTTATGTCAGCTGTCTGGGCTTCCAAGGCCTGAACTTTCCCGAGTCTTGCTTGTCAGTGCATATGCCACAGACTCCTGGTGACGACCTCGAGAAGCTGCCTGCAAGCTCCTAAACTGTGTGCCGAGTGTAGAATACTCACTTCTCTGTAACTGTTTCCTGTTTAAGCACCAAAGGCAAAAAGCTCAACTTTTTTGGAGTTATGGTGACTTATAGTTTTGGTAAGCTTTTGCATGACTTTCATCTTTTTAATCGCTTCTCTAGGAGGGAGCTTCAGGGTTGTGTGTTGTTACCATTTGCAGCTTCTGCTGACTGGAAATAATATGACTACCTATGAAAATATCTTTTAAAAAGTTTGGGTTCTGTTTGGTTTAAGAGAAAAAAGAAAGCATTCCTCTTGTCAAGATAATGAAGATGCTTTTTGTTACCTCCTCAAGGAAATTTTATAGGTTCACTTTCACAAGTGTCTTTCATTTACCTGGAACGGTTTTTGTGAGGAGTGGGAGGTAGGTGTTTGACTGGATATTTTTCACCTCTGCTGAGGAAGTCATTCTTTGTTCAGAGACCTGCAAGTTCCTGCAGATAGTGCCATACTTCTGAGGGCTTCATTCTGATTACTCATTAATTGGTCAAATCTTGGGCTAATATCATACTCTGTATGACTTATCCCGAATTCATGAGACCTGAAGTATTTTGGGTTTTGAAGAATTTGTATGCATACGAATAGATATTTTGGGATGGGACCCATGCCAAACAGGAAATTTCTGTTTCATAAGTAGCTACACTCATAACCTAAAGATAATTTTACATTGCTTTTAGTGTCTATATTTTGATTGTAACCTGTCACAGGATGACAGCTGTGGAATTTTCCACTTGTGACATCATGTCCATGCTCAAAAACTTTTAGATTTGGAGTCATTTAAGATTAGGGGTGTTGAACCTGCAGCATAATTACTCTGCTTTAGAAAGACTTCCTGTCTCATGGGACAGATCCCACTCATCTCTGACATTTGTTTATTTTTCTTCTTCAGAAATTCCCCCTGGCTTTTCTTGCCTATTGTTTCTTTCACACAATTGTCAGAATCAAGTTACAAAGTTCACAAGTAGGTATTTTTATTTTTTTACATGTATTTAGTACAGGATCTCGAGAGTCTCACTGCAAGATTGGACTCATAATGATCCTTCTGTTTTCAGCCTCTCAAGGGCTGGGATTACAGGTGTGCACCACCATGCCTAATCTCAATCACTGTCTCAGTGTGCCCCAGAGGCAGGGCCAGCACAGCACTCTGGGAATCGATCCGGGTCCCTGTGTCTGCCTAAAGTAGGTGCTTCAATCCCCTGAGCTATCTGGCCAGCCTACTAACAAAGTTCTACACCAAACAGATGAATAGAAATAAAAAACCTATTTGAATTTTGCAAGATTAACATTAAATATAGATTGATCAGGGAGTAATAACTTTTTTCATCCTCTAGCCCACAATAGTTTCTCCACTTCTTTAGCATGTTAAAAGATCTTTCAATAATGTTTTATACTTTTCTTCAAAAGACATAAAAACAAAGAAAAACAAGTAGAAAAACAAATACTATAAAGCATCATCTCAGACTCTTCTGACTAGGGCAGTGGCAGAAATCATAAGCCTGTCCCTCCCCCGCCCCCCCAAAAAAATCACTGACTTGAAATTGAAAATTAGTAGTTTTTGAATTTCAATAAAACTTGCTAGATCTTTGTGGAGCACGAGGATTTTTATTTATTTGTTTATTTGTTTGTTTATTTATTTATTTATTTATTTATTTATTTTTGGAGGCCAGAAGATGCCTTAGGGCATTTCTTGTTTGCTGTGAGTATCTGGGTTCGAACCACAGCAGCTTGAGCTTGAGTGCTTTGTTTAAGCAGGCACTTAAACAACTGAGCTAACGGGCAGGCCCCCACACGGGGATTTTTGGTACTGCGTTGTGTTGTAGTTTTTCTACTCATCTCGGCTTTCCCTCTAGACTGCAGACTCTGTCAGGCCCCTGAGCACACCCGCACCCCTCGGACCTTTTGCGGGGTTACAGTTACGCACCACGGTTTCCACAAATATCGACTGCGCTCTAAAGGTGTCCACGATAACCAGTCTACTAAGCTATTCATCAAGTTTTCAAGGCTGCACCCCGCAGTCACATGCGAATGAAATTCAAGGACCGACGCAAACACCGAGAATAAGACTTCCAGATGTCAGACCTTTGTGAAAACAGGAGGAAAGCAGGCGGCGGTGGTGGTTCCGTCAGGACGGCAGAGATACGAAGTGGGGCTGGGAGCCTGAAAAGGCAGAGACATGAGGATCAGATTCCAAGTATACAAATGGCTGAGAGGATGGGCTAAAGGAAGCTCCTTTCTGGAACAGCTCCCCTTGAAGGAAGCAAGTGAAGGAGAGTAGGGCCGTACATCATCTGCGGGCTCCTGTTACAGCACACGCTGCTCTGCGTCCTAGGTCCACACCTGCTGCTCTTCTCTGTTCAAAAGGATATTCGAGGGAAGAGCTCCCTGGTCCTAGGGGATCTACAAGCTCTTAAATGCTATTACCAAATGGGTTTCTGTGTGTGTGGCTTCCACAGGGGTGCTTTCAGAAGTTCTTAGACATTCTGTTTTATTTTTAAATGTGGTCTGTATTTATTGTGGGCAGCACAGGGTGAAGCAAACGATTGAACATCTACCTCTCCTGTTTTTCACTTGTATTCTTTCAAAAAGGATTTCAGAAAATGTGGGGAAAAGGAATAACTTTTATTCTTGATGTGCAAAAGAGAGGGGGTGAATGGCATTCATTTTTTAGGAAATACATTAATTTTTACAGCAGTAGCTGATAACTACTTCTTTGTATGCAGTCATTATTTTCAAATAATTTGGATTTATTCACTTATGTAAATGATTATTAGCATCTTGTTACAATGTGTGAAAATATGTCATAGGACGTGGTGGGGTCCGTTGCCAGGGCAGCAGCGCTGCTTAGCCAGTAAAAGGCCTTTATTATGGCTGGAAAGCTTTCTACGGGCTTTGGATTCAGGGTCTGGGTCTCATTCTTCACTATCTTTTGATGTCCAAAGAATATAGCAACATGTTTATTGCATTTGCTCTGTGCTAGACATTGTTTTAAGTGTCACAGGAAGATGAACTCACTGAGTCCTTGTGCCAGCCCTGTGAGGCAGATGGTTTCAGTCATCTTCATTTTATGGATGCAGAAACTAGGCACAGAGAGGCTACACTGTGTACTTGTGGCCCCTCAGGTGGCCAGGCTGGGGCTGGGGCTCACATCGTCTGGTGCCACGGTGTCAAGTGGCCCACCACATTGCCTGCGACAACGGAGTGATGGAGTTTCCCTGAGCCCTTCATTCTCCCAACTATTAAAAGTAGGACGCATTCCCTACCACTTGGTGTTCCTACCCAGAACTAAAACCATTTGAAATGGATCCCTTTACATAATTCTAGCATTTATATCTGTGGATCTATGTGTTTTTCTGTGCTTAGCCTTTAAAACATTTTGCCATATCCCACAAGTGTTTCACGTGCATATTTCCTATTTTTCAGACTACTTTATAAATTGCTTGGGAATAGGGCTTGTATCCAGGCACACAGAATCCAACACCCACAGTTAGAAGAAGAGAGGCTTAACTGGCTCACAGCTTCAAGGGGTGCAGAGCATGCTCATCTAGCTCCAAGGGAGAAACAACACGGCAGAAAGGTGCAGTGAGGTGAACTGCTCAAGCCTTGGGGGCCAGGAGGCAGGACAGAGGAACAGCACTAGCTGGGAAACTGGCCTGGGACCACCTTTAGTACCCAAAGCCTCTCTTCTGGGGCCCATTCAGAAGCACCCAGAGTACATACCACCAACTCCCAGGCGTATCCCAAGCTGATTAAGGCACTTTGTGCCCTAACTGCCACAGGGCTAGTGAATATTTTTTTCCTGCCATGAAATATCTAGTGCAGTACTTAGCATTTAAAAAAGTATTTGTTGGGGTGTGGGGAGATAGTTCAGTGGAATAAGTGCTTGCCTGGCAAGTGCAAGGTCCTGAGTTCGATCCCTGGTACCACAAAAAAAAAAAAAAAAAAAAGAAAGAAAAGAAAAGCCCATATCTCCATCCATTCATAGGTTGATGGGCATTTGGGCTGTTTTTAAGATTTAGCTG